ATTTGCTGTTTTCATTTCGTCGTCTTGTCTATTCGTGGCATACTTCTTCCTGAAGACGTACAGGCTCAGGGCTCTGCATGATACTGGACATCCTAATCCAGAAATCACACGAGAACTTGGTCGTTCGCCTTCATGCATTGAAAGATTCATCCGGAACCTTGACAATTATACTCAGCACCTTTCCGAGCCATTTACCATCGTTGACGGCTCAAAACAACAAAAGAGTAGCTCGCATCCTGCCGAATTTTTCATCGTAGTCTTGAGGACGACCATTTAGTGCCTCATCCGCTCAAATGATTACACCACTCGACAGACGCTGAAAGAATCTGCTCACTTCAAGGCTTGTAAGATTGGAGTCTGCTCGTAAAAACATGGCAACATAGGGTAGGACACGGTTTCCCAATAATTTTCTACTTTTCAAACACTTTTTTATGCACATTTTCTTCTTAGGTGACCTTAACTCACAAAAACAATTCGATCTTGACGAGCCGGATGAATTTAGCCACTAGAGAAGGGGCTTGGCGGTGAACCACTCCGGTTCTCCAGAACAAATTTCCGAGGAAGCCCGCTGATGGTATGGGGCGGCGCTTCGCAAGCAGCGTAAAGTTGGAGCTAGCCCTCACTTCACTGCACATAAACAGTGAAGAATACCAAAAATTCTCCAATACCACTTGTTGCCTTTTCTTAGAGCGCGGCTATGGTTGCATGTTTCGCAACAGGATAACGCGTCTGTAAATGCTTCGGAATCTAGTAAAGGATGGCTTGAACGAAATAGTGCCTGGGCGACAGATTGACTTCTGTGTTCTTTCTACTGCAACCCTACAGGGACCCCTTGTTTGAAGAGTTAACTTTAACAGCCGGCAGTACAGAACCGCGGATGGACTGAGGCTACTTGGATCCACATCGAGGAGGCAACCATGGCAAACGGTTCACATTGTGCCGGACAGGATATTGGAGCTAATTAGAAGCTATGGATGCCTCACAGATTCCGTATGTTTTTTTCTGCATGTACGTTTTTTGTTTTTGTTAAGTGTCCACATACTTTTGGAGCAAGGAAAAAAATTCCATTCAAAATTTTTTACGAAAGTAAGGCGATATTAACTCATCAAAGGAACGATTACGTAAGGAAGAGCCGCATCGGGAGAGTAATATGAATCATACGACAGGCAGCTACTTAGTTGCCAAGGAACAATTGTGGCGCTTTCATGACGAAAGGAGCCCCGGTGATGAACAGGACTTCCGAAGGCTCCGCCTTTGACGGATTTCTCTCCGCTTTTTTGCCAACGGCGTACCATTAAGCACCCCCATGTCCCTCTGAACCCTTTCAGAATCTATCGTAATCGATGCCTTCAGTAACTTCCATTGATAGGCTAGTTTGCGACTACGCAGATTAAAATGAAACGCGCGACAATGAAAGAAATAGGATAGAGGAGAATAGGGTAGTAGTAGATCAGGATAGTAGGAGAGTAGGATAGTGTGCTGAAAAGAATAGATACGTATGGACTGAAATTGTCGTAGAGTAGTAGATTACGTATATAGATTAGATATTACAAGGATATAGGATAGTAGCAGAGTAGGAGAGATAGCGGTAGATTAGGATAGTGAGCTGGCAAGACTAGAGTTCGTCTGAAGTCGCCCAATCTACTACTCTCCAGCGATTTCAGTCGATACGTATCCAATCTTGTCAGCCCAATTATCCAACTCACCACTATTCTAATATCCTATCGCTTACTATCCTAATCTCCCCAGTCGCAAACTATGAACGCGGCCTTATCACAATCATGCCATCACGGAACGATGATACTGTAAGACCTGCAAGCAACGCACACCTTCTGTTAGTGGTTGGCTATTCCTTCACACAGCTTCCCTACAATTTATTTTGCGAAAGGCAAACATAAATGGAAAAAAATACCACAATGTAGGCCGATGTCATAGTTTGCGAATCGAGCGATTCGCTAGCGAATCGCTCGATCCGAGCGTTGCGCCAGCGAATCGAACGTTGCACCAGCGAATCGAACTTTGCGCCAGCGAGTCGAACGATGTACCAGCGAGTCGAACTAGGTACCAGCGACTCAATAGTGGCGGGACCCAACGTTTAAAGGAAGCCCGCCACTTTCAAACAGTGTCACGTGACAGTGGACGCTGTTTGAAAGTGGCGGGACTTTGCAGTGGACACTGTTTGAAAGTGGCGGGCTTTCCTTTAAACGTTGGGTCCCGCCACTATTGAGTCGCTGGTACCTAGTTCGACTCGCTGGTACATCGTTCGACTCGCTGGCGCAAAGTTCGATTCGCTGGTGCAACGTTCGATTCGCTGGCGCAACGCTCGGATCCAGCGATTCGCTAGCGAATCGCTCGATTCGCAAACTATAACATCGGCCTCACATCGACACGCTGACAGACATACATAACGAACAATCTCATATTTCGGATTACTGTCGTTTTTACTCTGTTTCCATTGAGCACTTCTCTATAATATATGCCGCGTGAGCTTTGATTACTACTCAACGGACATCCCAATGAGAAAGAAAGACAACAGATCCAGCAATAAGTTCTTTCAGAGGAATTTTATCTGGAGAGTCAACGTAGCATCTGCGTTTCCATATTTCTTGTTTCCTTTTTTTGGTCAAACATGGGTCAAGCATGTGGGCATCCCTCAGTGCTCTTTCTCGAAAGTAGTATTTCGGGCTCCATATCACTCCGAAATCAGCGTGACCTGATGAGCTGAGAACACCTATAGACGAGTAAGGTTAGGCTGAAGTCTACGCGACCTTTATAAGCACTCGTTGATCCGGGGTCAAGAGTACTCACTATCGTTCGGGAAGAGAGGTTCTTCACCCTTTATACACTGCGTTTCATAAATATAGGTCCACCCTAATTTTTTGCTATTCCAAAGTTGCTGTGCATTTTTGGAAAATGCCGCTATTACCAATAGTTTCCCCATAACGAAAAACCTTGATACTTGATTTCTGGAGAAATCTCGATTCAGAATTATTAAAATATCTTCCTTAGAACGTATTTTCACCGTTTCGCAAATATGACTACACATCACTTGTCGAGAGATTTTACTATAACGAAAAAACGTCACGAATTTTCAATAATGGGATGACCCCCCAATAATCATAAGGAACACAATAATACGTTTTGAAATGCTGGTAGCCAAATTAGCTATTACAGTAGGATCGAAATTCGTCTGGGCGCCGATGATCGACCTTTTCAGCTTTTCGGCTGTTCCATTTTGCTTTACTTTGCTGTGGAACTTTATAACAATTAAGGCCCAATGATTCTCTATTGGAATCTAATTCAGATAACATGGTGGCCACCAGATAACTGCCACATTTTTTCCTGCAATTCCATCTGGCGCGGAGGGACCGGCATGGACAGCCGCGTTATCGTGTGTGAAAATCAAGGATAGAGGGGATCCTTGTTGAAAAAATGGTAAGACTCGCTTCGAAAGAACTTCACGATACCCTGTGGAATCTTTGTGAACGGAAACAAAAGCGAGCTCTAGCTACTCAGTCGTTCAAAGGTGCCTCAAACCATAAGGGATTCACCGCCGAAATTACGTTACATTGAAACCATCTGCGATTTTCACGCGATCATCCTGTACCCTCTTTTTCTGCCATATCCACCTAGAATAAACTTTTCCACGTCGATCTCAGACCACCTGTAGAACGAAACAAGGAGGTAGAGTCCAAGATCGCGAAGGGTCTTAACAGCCACACCATCGCTCATTAAGTTGAGCCCTTTTCCACGGAGAAATGGAGACTTGCGATCTTGTAGCGCTCAAATAATCTTGGAACGCTCTTCATCAATCCGTTGAAGATGTTATTGCTCTGCTGGCTTACTCACACCAGGGTCAACCCTATCGTTGTTACTTATTCGAAAAATTTTTACGACCCCCCTCCCCCAAGGTGGATTTGGTACGACCCCCCTTCCGACACCTCGATCACCATATTCCTCTCTATAACACTAACTTCCACTACCACTCAACCCTCAAAACTCCGCCCACTTTTTCCTCCAAAAATGCCGTCGAGCGGGGGGGGGGTATATAGTCCCTCTGAAACAGTAAAAATTTTCCCATAATTCCCCACAATCCCCTAAATTTTCCAATTTCCCAATTTCTCCCTATAATCTCACTGTTTCCTTTTCTAGGGGGGGTATATACACCGGCTGAAACGGCAAATTTTTATCTTGCGCGCCCTCTACTCGCACAACCTACTACCCACGAAATCTAGTTTCTCCTCAATCCCACACGTGATTTCGAGCGACTAAAGTGGGTACGACCCCCCCTCCTACAAACTCAACCAGGTACGACCCCCCCGTTGTTACTCGTAACAACGTAGGGTTGACCCTGCTCACCACACGGTGGTTTTGCTCACAGAAGGCCGCATTTCAGTACGGACTTTGTTCGGACTCCTTGTATAATTCGAGAGAAGACACCCAATTCCTCCTAAATTTTGAAGGAAACGCAGTCTTTATTTACCTAAGCGACTCTTCTCTCCGCACTGACCAGGATTTTGCACATAGTCGCTTATGCAGTATGAGCCGGCCGACATGGGAGGAAATTCTGCTCCTCAGCTATCCCACTTCAGTAAGTGCTCTAGCTTGAGCTTGTTACTGGGAAGAGAGGCGAATAACACGAGGTATGGTAAACTCGATGTCGACTGAGCCCACATATTTCCCCGCTTCCCTGATTCCCTTCACGGATCGTGAGAAATGGAAACTTTTTATGAGTGGCCCGATATTCATGAAACGGTGAAAATTCGTTCTAAAAAAGTTAATTGGGTTACTTGAGGGGGGAACTTTGTCAGAAAAACACTATGAAGGTTTTCCGTGATGAGGAATCTAACGGTGATAGCAGCATTTCCATAAAATGCACAGCAACTTTGGGGTAGCAAAAATTTAGGGTGGACTATATAATTATGAAACGCAGTGTATTTGGTTGTCCACGTTCTAAGCCCGCCAATTCTCTGACAGTCGCCTATGTTCTTTTTGCGTTATTTTCATCGTTCTCCAGCGGGTCTATCCAGAAATGGACAAGGTTATGGAGAATATGGTGCAATATGGTGACCAATCCAGAAACGGTCTAGCATTGAGTAACTGAGAGTTCCAACCGCCAAGGTGAACGTCGTCCAAGTCAGGTACCTCTGAACTTTTGAAACATCTTTTGCTGAGTGACAGCTTTGGCCCGGGCATCTCTTGTTGACTGACAAACAACGTTAGGCTTGCACCTAGAACCTTCATTCCATCGCGCCTTAGTCGGTCGCCTGCATTGTGTAATATTCTGGACCGACTGTGGTGATGTCATGTGACTACTGATTTTTTTCGCTTTTTTTTCGGAGTAGGAGACACAAATAACTTCATCTTTACTTTGGGAGCTGTTTAGATATCACAGGGCTAGTCGATGTAGTGAGCAGACAATAGTGTTACTGACAAAAATCTCCTCATTTTATAAAGCGCTCACTTGGTGTGTCGGTTTACATATACACTGCGTTCAATAATGATACAGCCACCTAAAATTTGTTCGAAAACTTAAAGTTCATAGAGTTTCTGAAAAACTGTCCAGATAGAAAATGTGACAAATTTCATGGCGAGTTCAGATATCAACACAAAAATCCATGTCGAACACTAAAAAATTTTGTGCTATTTTTTCAGAAGAGGTCGATTTTTTATGTTCAAAATTTATATTCAAAGTTATTCGAATTTTCCTATGTTCAAAAATGATACAGCCACCCCGTGTTTCTTCGTTGAAATTCATTTTTGCTTCATGAAACTGATTCGCAGTTATCAGGCTTTCACCTTAATGTTCCCACAAGATAAAAAAGACAGTTTTGTTTTGAAAAAAAGTAAACTGTAGAAAAAAGGACCAGGGATCGTCAGCAGATAAAGGATAAAGGATAAAGCATTTGCCGTTGATCAATCCCTTTTTGGGATGCGGCACGCATTCTACTTCCATTTGTACATTCGTAGTGGCGTTTGAATGCGATGTGGCCTATACAATGACTTGCGGGGGCCAGCCGATGTTCAAGTCAGTGTTTTTATCCTCCCAGACAAGTCTGGTACCAATTAACCGACCCCGGAGGGATGGAAGGCTTGGTTGGCCCGGGCGACTCACGACCCAGGATTTGATCCCCGGACCGCTCGCGTGGTGAGCGCGCCACTTGTCACTACACCACTTCCGCCCCTAGGCAGTCATATTGCGCAAAAAATTGAGTCAAACCTCCAATACGGTTAGCAATCTTTTCTGGAATTCTGTAGTTTATGGAACAACGAAAAGCTCTGGATGTTCATCATTGCTTTTTGGTCAATTTAAACTTCGCATTTTGGGGAAACATTTCAATTTCATCGAACAGTGCCCGGAATTCCAGTCTTCTTTCAGAATTAAACTTTCAATGGATATTGTTTGGGATGTGTTGAAGATTTTCCGAGGTCATTCTTCAATGGAGAATTAAAGAAACCTTGTTTGTGAAAAGAAATTCTCTCGAAAACTGAGACATTTTTTGCTCGAAAGTGTAGCCACGTCCACTGGAGCAAGATCAGTTCTTTTGTCTGTTGTGTCTTACTTTCTGTCTGCGTTTCTCTCAATGTTTTTCGCTTCATAGGAGTCTAATGAAAGGAAAAACCCTTCAATGAGGAAGGAAAAACTCGAAAGAAAGTAAACAGAAAGTAAGACACAACAGACAAAAGAACTGATCTTGCTCCAGTGGACGTGGCTACACTTTCGAGCAAAAAATGTCTCAGTTTTCGAGAGAATTTCTTTTCACAAACAAGGTTTCTTTAATTCTCCATTGAAGAATGACCTCGGAAAATTCTTCAACACATCCCAAACAATATCCATTGAAAGTTTAATTCTGAAAGAAGACTGGAATTCCGGGCACTGTTCGATGAAATTGAAATGTTTCCCCAAAATGCGAAGTTTAAATTGACCAAAAAGCAATGATGAACATCCAGAGCTTTTTCGTTTGTTCCATAACATACAGGATTCCAGAAAAGATTGTTAACCGTCCCCCCCCCCCCCCCCCCCCCCGTATTGGAGCTTTGACTCAATTTTTGCGCAAATATGACTGCTTGACGATTCCTGGTCCTTTTTTTGCTACAGTTTACCTTTTTTCAAAACCAAACTGTCTTTTTATCTTGTGGGAACATTAAGGTGAAAGCCTGATAACTGCGAATCAGTTTCATGAAGCAAAAATGAATTTCAACGAAGAAACACGGGGTGGCTGTATCATTTTTGAACATAGGAAAATCGACCTCTTCTGAAAAAATAAGCACAAAATTTTTAGTGTTTTCGACATGGATTTTTGTGTTGATATCTGAACTCGCCATGAAATTTGGTACATTTCTATCTGGACAATTTTTCGAAAACTCCATGAACTTTAAGTTTTCGAACAAATTTTAGGTGGCTGTATCATTATTGAACGCAGTGTATGTATGTACAGTAGCGGTCAAAAGTTTGGAAACTTTTTTATTTTCGATCACTGTAGCCAGTAGACAATAAAATTGTCCCAAATGTACATATTATTATATACAGAATCAAGGCGTAGATTACGATAAGCAACAAAATTTTTTGAAAACGAGAGTTCCCTTTTGAAAAACACGAATTTTTATAAGACGAGTCAAAAGTTTGGAAACTTCTCAATTCCACAGCGAATTCGGCGAAATTGCTCTCGAATCTACATGACAAATTACTGTTCGATGAGTAGCAACAGAAAGTAAGACATAACAGACAAAAGAACTGATCTTGCTCCAGTGGACGTGGCTACACTTTCGAGCAAAAAATGTCTCAGTTTTCGAGAGAATTTCTTTTCACAAACAAGGTTTCTTTAATTCTCCATTGAAGAATGACCTCGGAAATCTTCAACACATCCCAAACAATATCCATTGAAAGTTTAATTCTGAAAGAAGACTGGAATTCCGGGCACTGTTCGATGAAATTGAAATGTTTCCCCAAAATGCGAAGTTTAACTTGACCAAAAAGCAATGATGAACATCCAGAGCTCTTCGTTGTTCCATAACCTACAGGATTCCAGAAAAGATTGTTAACCGTATTGGAGCTTTGACTCAATTTTTGCGCAATATGACTGCTTGACGATTCCTGGTCCTTTTTTGCTACAGTTTACCTTTTTTCAAAACAAACTGTCTTTTTTATCTTGTGGGAACATTAAGGTGAAAGCCTGATAACTGCGAATCAGTTTCATGAAGCAAAAATGAATTTCAACGAAGAAACACGGGGTGGCTGTATCATTTTTGAACATAGGAAAATCGACCTCTTCTGAAAAAATAAGCACAAAATTTTTAGTGTTTTCGACATGGATTTTTGTGTTGATATCTGAACTCGCCATGAAATTTGTCACATTTTCTATCTGGACAGTTTTTCAGAAACTCTATGAACTTTAAGTTTTCGAACAAATTTTAGGTGGCTGTATCATTATTGAACGCAGTGTATATGTAAACCGACACACCAAGTGAGCGCTTTATAAAATGAGGAGATTTTTGTCAGTAACACTATTGTCTGCTCACTACATCGACTAGCCCTGTGATATCTAAACAGCTCCCAAAGTAAGATGAAGTTATTGTGTCTCCTACTCCGAAAAAAACGAAAAATCAGTAGTCACATGACATCACCACAGTCGGTCCAGAATATTACACAATGCAGGCGACCGACTAAGGCGCGATGGAATGAAGGTTCTAGGTGCAAGCCTAACGTTGTTTGTCAGTCAACAAGAGATGCCCGGGCCAAAGCTGTCACTCAGCAAAAGATGTTTCAAAAGTTCAGAGGTACCTGACTTGGACGACGTTCACCTTGGCGGTTGGAACTCTCAGTTACTCAATGCTAGACCGTTTCTGGATTGGTCACCATATTGCACCATATTCTCCTAACCTTGTCCATTCTGGATAGCCCGCTGGGAGAACGATGAAAAACCAAAAGGAACAAGGCGATGTCAGAGAATGCGGGCTTAGCACGTGGGACAACCAAATATTAAACTGTGAAATCCTTTCCCGAACGATAGTGAGTACTCTTGACCCCGGATCAACGAGTGCTTATAAGGTCGCGTAGACTTCAGCCTAACCTTACTCGTCTATAGGTGTTCTCAGCTCATCACGTCACGCTGATTTCGGAGTGATATGGAGCCCGAAATACTACTTTCGAGAAAGAGCACTGAGGGATGCCCACATGCTTGACCCATGTTTGACCAAAAAAAGGGAAGAAACAAGAAATATGGAAACGCAGATGCTACGTTGACTCTCCAGATAAAATTCCTCTGAAAGAACTTATTGCTGGATCTGTTGTCTTTCTTTCTCATTGGGATGTCCGTTGAGTAGTAATCAAAGCTCACGCGGCATATATTATAGAGAAGTGCTCAATGGAAACAGAGTAAAAACGACAGTAATCCGAAATATGAGATTGTTCGTTATGTATGTCTGTCAGCGTGTCGATGTAGGCCGATGTCATAGTTTGCGAATCGAGCGATTCGCTAGCGAATCGCTGGATCCGAGCGTTGCGCCAGCGAATCGAACGTTGCACCAGCGAATCTTTGCGCCAGCGAGTCGAACGATGTACCAGCGAGTCGAACTAGGTACCAGCGACTCAATAGTGGCGGGACCCAACGTTTAAAGGAAGCCCGCCACTTTCAAACAGTGTCCACTGCAAGTCCCGCCACTTTCAAACAGCGTCCACTGTCACGTGACACTGTTTGAAAGTGGCGGGCTTCCTTTAAACGTTGGGTCCCGCCACTATTGAGTCGCTGGTACCTAGTTCGACTCGCTGGTACATCGTTCGACTCGCTGGCGCAAAGTTCGATTCGCTGGTGCAACGTTCGATTCGCTGGCGCAACGCTCGGATCCAGCGATTCGCTAGCGAATCGCTCGATTCGCAAACTATGACATCGGCCTAACTTGTGTCTGTGTGTTTCAGTATGTTTGTCTTTCGCAAAATAAATTGTAGGGAAGCTGTGTGAAGGAATAGCCAACCACTAACAGAAGGTGTGCGTTGCTTGCAGGTCTTGCAGTATCATCGTTCCGTGATGGCATGATTGTGATAAGGCCGCGTTCATAGTTTGCGACTGGGGAGATTAGGATAGTAGGCGATAGGATATTAGGATAGTAGTAGAGTAGGAGATTGCGCTGACAAGATTGGATACGTATCGATTGAAATCGCTGGAGAGTAGTAGATTGGGCGACTTCAAGCGAATAGA